GGGGGGGGGGGGGGAGGTCCTGATATTCTGACCAAGTTTTGGTGAACATTTTGACCGACATTTCAAAGGGCTGACTCCATCAAATTCGTAATGGAAAAACTGAATGCGGTTTTTAATTTAACAAGGTGAAAAGTTTGAGCGAGTCAAAATACTTATAATACAAATAATACTACTATATAGTGTAAACCAATTTGAAAAACCAACAAGTGACCAACATGAACAATTTTGACCAAATATTTTCCATTTTGACCAACTTTTTGAACTTAAAAATTATTGGGGGTGTTACATCCCCCACACTTGCCCAGTAACGACATCCCTGAGAGTGCTTCCAGTTTGACTCTACCAAACACTTTAGGTTTTATCTGAATATTCCAACTTTATTCTGCAGTAACATCGGAAGAATAAGGAATGGTCCTAACTGTTTAAGACTGATCGAGCTATTCAGGACAAGATTGCCAAATCTTTAAGTCATACCTATGTCCAGTGGGTTCGATAAAGTAGAGACAACAATGAACTCTGGTGTCGGGAATTCTTGCTTTTCTATAAGTACTTGATTCTTCTCGGTAATAATGGTCGAATTGATCATGGATGTATTCAATTACTGGCTCCCAACTGAAATGTGAACAAAATTATGAAGCCCGGTTAAAATTTTTATTGATGTGTGATACTTAACTTAATACACTGACCCAGTAGCAGCTTACATAAAAATGCAGAAAATAGAAATGGTCTACTCACCAGTTGGTATTATTAACTTGGTCACCAAAACCAGGTGTGTCAGTGATAGTCAACCGTAAACGGACTCCTTTCTCTTCAATAACTGAAAAAAAATGTGTGTAAGAATTAGATTAACCCATTAAGCTGCAGCACTTCCCCATTGAGGAGTAAAATCGTCTGGCATTAGACAAGTAGAAAAAATAAGTAGGACACACTGGGGCGCATTGCGGTTCAATGGGTTAACTAGAGACATTGTCAGATTTTTTGGCTGACCCATTAAGCTGTAGAGCTTCGCCATTGACGAGTAAAATCGTCTGCCGTTAGGCAAGTAAAAAAAGTAGGGCGCACTGGGGTGCATTGCAGCTCAATGCTCAATGGGTTAACCTCCCTAAGTGGCAATGCGCCCAGATGCACCCTACTTTATTATTTTACTCTGTCTAACGCCAGACGATTTTACTTGTCAGGGGGGAGTGCTGTCACTCAATGGGTTAAATTCAGATTGGCAAGGCTAGGCTCATGTGACAAGGGGTACAGCTTCCCAGGGGAGTGGGGTACATTCTCACCAAGCCGCCCGAGAAAGGATAGACCTGGTTGTCATATCAGAGTAGATTGAATATTCTGTTTCAGAATGGCATGCATCATACTTACCATGGCTAACTGTCTTGATTTCTACAGTTTTCGGGATAACAAATGGTTGGGATATACATGAAGCGCGGCTGAGCTTTGCTTTGAACAGAGTGTTCACCAGTGTTGATTTGCCCAAGCCAGACGCCCCTAAAACACAAATATTTTCACATGACACATGGGTCCGTAGCAAGAATCAAACCTACAAACTTAGAGAAAGACACAAGTTTGCTCTGCAAACTACGCCACAAATGCTCCAATTAATAGGTTAATATAATATAAACGTATGTAACAGTATATTTGTACCTACCTACAACCATAATATTCAATTCAAATCCTCGTTTCAATGATTTCTTTCTGATCTGTTCCTGAATCGTGTCAAAACCAACGTAACTTTCCAAAGAACTTTTCATTTTTCCCCACTGTGTCGTCTGCATCATGACCTTCGACATGATGTCAATGAAACTGTTGTACGACAACAAACCTGCAAGGAGAAACACAGAATGTAAATAGATCAAAGTTACATTGAAAGTTGAATTGGTTCGCTCTGTTGAAGATTTGAAAAAGAACGAACAATCTAGAACAGATGATACTATCCAGTAAAAATAAAGTTGGTTTGGTTCAGATTTTCTTCTGCAGTAACAATATACAGGGTGTATAAAAAAAAACTGAACAGATTTGAAATTGCTCTCAATTTCGCAAAACATCTATTTGTATCCGGTTTTTTATATATATAGCTTCTTTGGGTACTTATAATGTAGAATAATGAAAAAAATTTCTCAAACTCAAATTTTGTGAACCAGGGGGTGTGTCTTTTCCAACAAATTAATAATGGCTCGAGCACAAAATTTAAAAGATGTAATCATATTTTGAGTTAAACGATGGAAAATTTGCCGGGTTTTTAATTACTATACAAACTTTCAGACAATTTGGTTTAGTTTAAGCCCTTTAACTATTCGGGCAAAGTTACATTTTTCCTAAAAATCAGCTTTTCGCATGCTTAATGCATTTGCCTAATTTGCATATGTCAGCAATATGCAAATTAGGTAAAGGCATTAATTAAGCATGCGAAAAGCTGATTTTTTAGTATAAAATAAATAGTTAAAGGGCTTAAACTAAACCAATCATGTGAAAAGAGTCTGTCAAGGTTCTGCCGTAAGTCGTGGGTTTTCTCTGGGTGCGCCGGTTTTCTCCCACAGCACAAGCTGACAGGGTGGGTGAGGATAAACAGATCTCAATTGTTGTAAAGATAAATAGTCTAGGTTAAGTCAGTAACATGAGCGTAATACTTGATGTAATCGGTCACTGAAAATCCCCAGAATGGGAGGTAGCTGAATAATGTAATGAAGGATATTTTAGCGAATTTCTTGTGTGTTTTTTTGATGAACTTCATGAGCTGCTAGTCGTCGTCATCACAAGTAAATTTTAATCTGCTAATATACAGTAAGGGAAGCGTTAATGTAGGATTTACTGTTATTAGGAACAAACAGGCTGTAAGACTATAGAATATTAGATTCTCAAAATTGAACAACAGGCAGGAATGGACATAATTGCAATAACGGGGAAATCCTTTTGCTTGTAGATTCATAAGAATCTTGAGTAACCACGCATGTTATATTAATTTTATTCAGCAACACGGTCTGTTTGTCAACATTGGCAATTCGGATGTGATAATGGTTACGAATGTGTGCATCGATATTATCTTTGTGATGGAAGGAATCATTGCTCTGATGGTAGTGATGAATGGTATTGGAACTGCGGTATGTTCTAATTTTATTATAAAATTTGGCAGACAGAACATGTTATAATTATCTCATTTGACAGAGACACATTTTTTCAAAAGTTAAATTGTTGATTTATAATTGTTATAGCAAGTTCAACCAGTTCATCAATTCAACCTTCGTCAACAGGTAAGTTTAATGCAAGCATCTTTAATAATCTCTTCTTTAGTATTTTATTAGCTGTTAATTGTCCACTGTCGGTTTTCCATCTGTTCTTCAACGTTCACGTTCATATGTTCCAGCTCCGTAATGTTTCTGAACGTCTCCATCTTCTCATCGTCGTTTCGTCCCCCCTTCTCCAATGTTTTTAGAGTGTAGTTTTAGGTCTGTTCAAAGCGGATAAAGAATTGGGGAGGGGGTTGATAATTGTAAGCATACAGTGTTGGGTATCTTGCACGCATCTACTCACAGAATTTCATCAACTTTGTTCTTAAAGCCATATGTGACTATATGTCTCGCACTAAATTAAATTGTCAAGTATTAAAGGTTATATTTTAAGCTGACTTTTATATGAGGAATGTTGAAAATTGATCTAAGAGGACATGAGAAAACAGGAAGTTGCAGCTTTTTCAAGAAGGTTAACCTTTTACTGATGATCAAAAGGGCCCGGCTCATCAGAAAATCATGCTTCACTACTGGAGCAAGCAAAGGGCCTATTGGGGTAAATGCCCCTGTAGTTATACAGGGTGTATAAAAAAAAAACTGAACAGATTTGAAATTGCTCTCAACTTCGCAAAACATCTATTTGTATCCGGTTTTTTATATATATAGCTTCTTTGGGTACTTATAATGTAGAATGATGAAAAAAATTTCTTGAACTCAAATTTTGTGAACCAGGGGGTGTGTCTTTTCCAACAAATTAATAATGGCTCGAGCACAAAATTTAAAAGATGTAATCATATTTTGAGTTAAACGATGGAAAATTTGCCGGGTTTTTAATTACTATACAAACTTTCAGACAATTTGGTTTAGTTTAAGCCCTTTAACTATTCGGGCAAAGTTACATTTTTCCTAAAAATCAGCTTTTCGCATGCTTAATGCATTTGCCTAATTTGCATATGTCAGCAATATGCAAATTAGGTAAAGGCATTAATTAAGCATGCGAAAAGCTGATTTTTTAGTATAAAATAAATAGTTAAAGGGCTTAAACTAAACCAATCATGTGAAAAGAGTCTGTCAAGGTTCTGCCGTAAGTCGTGGGTTTTCTCTGGGTGCGCCGGTTTTCTCCCACAGCACAAGCTGACAGGGTGGGTGAGGATAAACAGATCTCAATTGTTGTAAAGATAAATAGTCTAGGTTAAGTCAGTAACATGAGCGTAATACTTGATGTAATCGGTCACTGAAAATCCCCAGAATGGGAGGTAGCTGAATAATGTAATGAAGGATATTTTAGCGAATTTCTTGTGTGTTTTTTGATGAACTTCATGAGCTGCTAGTCGTCGTCATCACAAGTAAATTTTAATCTGCTAATATACAGTAAGGGAAGCGTTAATGTAGGATTTACTGTTATTAGGAACAAACAGGCTGTAAGACTATAGAATATTAGATTCTCAAAATTGAACAACAGGCAGGAATGGACATAATTGCAATAACGGGGAAATCCTTTTGCTTGTAGATTCATAAGAATCTTGAGTAACCACGCATGTTATATTAATTTTATTCAGCAACACGGTCTGTTTGTCAACATTGGCAATTCGGATGTGATAATGGTTACGAATGTGTGCATCGATATTATCTTTGTGATGGAAGGAATCATTGCTCTGATGGTAGTGATGAATGGTATTGGAACTGCGGTATGTTCTAATTTTATTATAAAATTTGGCAGACAGAACATGTTATAATTATCTCATTTGACAGAGACACATTTTTTCAAAAGTTAAATTGTTGATTTATAATTGTTATAGCAAGTTCAACCAGTTCATCAATTCAACCTTCGTCAACAGGTAAGTTTAATGCAAGCATCTTTAATAATCTCTTCTTTAGTATTTTATTAGCTGTTAATTGTCCACTGTCGGTTTTCCATATGTTCTTCAACGTCCACGTTCATATGTTCCAGCTCCGTAATGTTTCTGAACGTCTCCATCTTCTCATCATCGGTTCGTCCCCCCTTCCCCAATGTTTTTAGAGTGTAGTTTTAGGTCTGTACAAAGCGGATAAAGAATTGGGGAGGGGGTTGATAATTGTAAGCAGACAGTGTTGGGTATCTTGCCCACATCTACTCACAGAATTTCATCAATTTTGTTCTTAAAGCTATATGTGACCATATGTCTCGCACTAAATTAAATTGTCAAGTATTAAAGTTATATTATAAGCTGACTTTTATGTGAGGGAATGTTGAAAATTGATGTGACAGGACATGAGAAAGCAGGAAGTTGCAGCTTTTTCAAGAAGGTTAATCTTTCACTGATGATCAAAAGGGCCCAGCTCATCTGAAAATCATGCTTCATTACTGGAGCAAGCAAAGGGCCTATTGGGGTAAATGCCCTGTAGTTATATAGTTAAAAAAATGCCCTGTCTGTGCATCAATTCAACATTTGTTAGCAAGTAAGTATAAGTATGGGGTTTCGCTGGCGCAGTTGTAAGTGTAAATGCCTTTCACATCTGAGATCGTGGGTTTGGTTCTCTCTTCGTACTCATGTGAAAAGAGTGTGTCAAGGTTCTGGCGTAAGTCGTGGGTTTTCTCTGGGTGTGCCGGTTTTCTCCCACAGCACAAGCTGACAGGGTGGGTGAGGATAAACAGATCTCAATTGTTGTAAAGATAAATAGTCTAGCTTAAGTAAGTAACATGAGCGTGATACTTGATGTAATCTGTCACTGAAAATCCCCAGAATGGGAGGTAGCTGAATACTGTAATAATGTAATGAAGGGTATTTTAGTGAATTTCTTGTGTGCTTTTTGATGAACTTCATGAGTTGCTAGTCGTCGTCATCACAAGTAAACTTTAATCTGCTAATATACAGTAGGGGAAGCGTTAATGTAGGATTTACTGTTAATAGGAACAAACAGGCTGTAAGACTATAGAATATTAGATTCTCAATATTGAACAACAGGCAGGAATGGACATAATTGCAATAACGAGGAAATCCTTTTGCTTGTAGATTCATAAGAATCTTGAGTAACCACGCATGTTATATTAATTTTATTCAGCAACACGGTCTGTTTGTCAATATTGGCAATTCGGATGTGATAATGGTTACGAATGTGTGCATCGATATTATCTTTGTGATGGAAGGAATCATTGCTCTGATGGTAGTGATGAATGGTATTGGAACTGCGGTATGTTCTAATTTCGCTATCAAATTTTGCAGACAGGAACATGTTATAATTATCTCATTTGACAGAGACACATATTTTCAAAAGTTAAATTGTTGATTTATAATTGTTATAGCAAGTTCAAGCAGTTCATCAATTCAACCTTCGTCAACAGGTAAGTTTAATGTAAGCATCTTTAATAATCTCTTCTTTAGTATTTTATTAGCTGTTAATTGTCCACTGTCGATTTTTCATCTGTTCTTCAACGTCCACGTTCATATGTTGCAGCTCCGTAATGTTTCTGAACGTCTCCATCTTCTCATCGTCGGTTCGTCCCCCCTTCCCCAATGTTTTTAGAGTGTAGTTTTAGGTCTGTACAAGGCGGATAAAGAATTGGGGAGGGGGTGATAATTGTAAGCAGACAGTGTTGGTTATCTTGCACGCATCTACTCACAGAATTTCATCAACTTTGTTCTTAAAGCCATATGTGACTATATGTCTCGCACTAAATTAAATTGTCAAGTATTAAAAGTTATATTTTAAGCTGACTTTTATATGAGGGAATGTTGAAAATTGATGTGAGAGGACATGAGAAAGCAGGGAATTGCAGCTTTTTCAAGAAGGTTAACCTTTTACTGATGATCAAAAGGGCCCAACTCATCTGAAAATCATGCTTCATTACTGGGGGAAGCAAAGGGCCTATTGGGGTAAATGCCGCTGTAGTTATATAGTTAAAAATATGCTCTTTCTGTGCATCAATTCAACATTTGTTAGCAAGTAAGTATAAGTATAGGGTTTCGCTGGCGCAGTTGTTAGAGCAAGCGCCTTTCACATCTGAGTTCCTAGGTTTGGTTCTCGCTTCGTACTCATGTGAAAAGAGTCTGTCATGATTCTGCCGTAAGTCGTGGGTTTTCTTTGGGTGCGCCGGTTTTCTCCCCCATCCGACAATCTGACAGGGTGGGGGTAGCTGATAAAGGCCGGTCCTAGCTCATTTTGGTTAATACTTCATGTAAGGCAAATTATAGTGGATCCGGGTAAGTATGGGCACGCCTGGAATCCCATTCCCGGAATCCCACCGTTGCGGAATAGAATCGATGACGTCACTTCCGGTCACCCAGTTCCCCGTGCCGTCGTGGGGGTCCTCTGCCTGCCGGACACTTCCCTGTTTCCGATTTCATCATTCCGATAACCTTTTTGTTTATTCCGGCCGGAATTCCGGAAGGATGGTCTTTGTCGATGTTACTGGTATCGAATCTTTCGTGAACATCCTCGGAAGTGTCCTTGAGGAAGTCCTCGGTGGTGATTTCGTAGCACAGGGAGTCCGTGTCTGTGAATAGGAGTTTGGGGTTATATATCCCCTTACTGCGATTTAATGAAGTTATAATGGAAGTTGTACATGAGGGTTTTGCTGATATCCAGGATACTCATTCCGAGGTATATGGGTTTTTTCAGTTTTACGGAGGTCCTCCTCATATGAACTGCCACCAGGTTTTCTGAGAAGATGGTTACCGACTTGAAGTTGTGGTTTTTGGATAGCTTGTTCAATTCCATTTCTTTTCGTCGTTGACGATTCTGATTTCGACTCTGTTCCTTACGTTTTCCATGGTCTTTCCGAATACAGAGTTGTTCATGAGCTTGAAGAAATTCTTTTCGAAGTCTGTGATTCCTTTGGTTCGTAGGTCTGTGTTAAGCTGAATGTATTTTTTCATCCAGTCGCTTTCGGTAAATTTAACTCCCCGTTGTATTTTGGTTAACTTCAGTCCCAGGTTCAGGTAATGTTTTAGGTTTGTGTAGTGGAGGACGTATTTTTCCCTGCTGTTGAGGTTGGGTATGAGTTTTTCCCTCTTGTTTACCGTTATCCTTTCTGGTGCTGGTGGGTATTCGTTGTGTAGATCGTGGAGGTCGTTGGGGTATTCGAGGTCCACTTCGAGGATGCAGTTGTGTTCCTCCCATTTTTTCAGTTTGTTGCCGCCCATCCATTTGAAGTCCTTGACGGGTAGGGGCTGACTCATTGCCCATCCGTAGAGGTTGTTTGCATCCAGATAGGGGAGGTACTTGCTTTTTCTCTTTGGGTCGTAGTTAGCCATGTACTTGTTGTTGGCTATGGCATGTCTTTTGGAGATGGTGCTGATTCCTCCGCGGATTCCTCTTTCTATGAGTAGATACATGTCTGGATCGGAAATAAGCTCCAGTTCCACCTTGGTTAGTTTTAGGCAAGCATCCCACGCCAGTCCCGGTGCTGTGTAGTACCACAGGGGATCGAGTCCGTAGTTTCTCTACATACCTTCCTGAAATTTTCCATTATGTCAGTTAGTAGGAGGACGTCCGTTTTAAGGTAGAGGTCGTGGTAATCCCTCATGGTTTTCATACCGAACGTGTTCCACACGTTTTGTGCTCTCCTGTAGTCGGTGTCGCTGATGTTTTCGTTGGTAAGACTGCTGAAGAACTTGCTTTTAGGTGGGAGGGATGTTTCTTCCAGTCTGTAAAATTCGTTCATGTACTCGTAGGGGTATACACCTTTCTGCTTAAGGATTTCCCGTTGCTCTGTGGTGTAATGGGATGTCATTAGGTCCAGATTTTCGAAGTCGTCCTTACCTAGACCCTTGGTGAGTTTGTCCAGGGAGCTTGCCATAAATTTGAAGGAGTCCAGGAATCTTAATTCCCTTTTGACGTTCTTTTCCTTACCATCCTTGTTTTTGAATGTATCGACCACTACCTCTTTGGTAAAGGATATGCACTTTTCTTCCGTCTTGGGAATGCACTTGATGTCTCCGCTGCTCACCCCTAGGTTTTTGATAAACAGATGGGCATTATACCCTTCAAGGTTATGCAAGAGGACTGGTATGAATCCCGGTCGCTTCATCTTGAGGTTGCACGAGTTGTGTGCTGCACCCCTATATTTACCTGTATAGTGACAGTGGTCGTTGACTTTGTAGTCTTTTAGTGTGAATTCCTCCTTACACGCAGCAGGTGGTTGCTTCTTTGTAGTTTTTGGTATCACTTGGGGTCATTATGACTGGTTTTTTGAATTTGAACTTGCTGTAGATATCCCGGTTTTCCTCCTCGAGAAGGTCCACAAATGTTTTGGTGATGTCTTCTCCTTCGTACTGTTGGGTATAATGTACCAGCTTGGGTTTGTAGATGGAGTCGTCGAAGCACTTAATGTAGTAGCAGAATCCGCTGGGGTTGTGTTTTTGGTACTGTGTGGTACTTGACTTGTTTAGGCTTTGCTCTTCTGCGATCAATTTTCTGATGTAGCACTCGAAGTCTGCGTAGATGGTAATTGGGAATTCTTGTGTCCTTTCGTAGTTTTCGAATTTTGTGGTGCTACCGGGTTTTGGATATTCATGCCTTTGGTAGTCGTTGTTCGAGCATAGTTCCAGATGCTTTTTCAGGAGTTCGTCCGATCCGAATGCGTTAAGGCATCGATCACATATGTATTTTCTGTGTTCGTTCTTACTGATTTGTGAACCCACAAGTTTCGACATGTCCTTGACGACGCTGTAGTGGTTTCTCCATAGGAAGAGTCTTACGGGGTTGGTTTCTCCTGATACCCGTAAGGGGTAGACCTTGTGGTTTTCGTCAACACTGAACATGTTGACGTAAACGTTGTTGTTCTTTTCGAACTTTTTAATGTCGTTTAGAGGTGTCGGGAATTCAATCCCTTCCCAGTCTAACTCTTCGGATTGCCTTTTGAGTTCTTTTGAAATTCTTTCCAGGTTTTTGTCGACACGGTTTAAGGCACGTGTGACGGCCCACTTGAAACATACGTCGTCGTTGTTCTTCATGTTGATCATTGCTTTCTTGTTGGCTATGGATTTGGGTAGTGGTTCGTGTTCTTACCCCTAAGTGGTCGGAACTCTCCGATGTGGATTTCCAGCTGGGTAATCCTTCGTAGTCTCCATCCGCTGCCCCTCCTCTGATATTCCGAAAAGGACTTCAGCATCTTTTCCCTCATGATACCCTGGGTTTCTTCCGTATCGTCCGTACCGATAAGTTTGTGGCTCTTCGATCCGAAGTGAGCGATGGTTGACACTTCCTCCCTGGTTTTCGGGTCGCTCCTTACCATTTCGCATGCCAGGGACATCCTTACGTTCCTGGGTTCCGTTTCAGAGTTTATGAGTGCTTTAACCTCATCTTCCGTGATGGTTAGAAAGTAGGATGGGTCGTAGTTACCGTTTGGGGTAATGACGTACTTCTTTATCTTTTTCTTGATGGCGTGTTTGGCTCGAGTGGGCTTCAGGATTTCCCTCGGTTTTTCCCAAATTTTACTGAGCTTGTCACCCACCTTTAATTGGAACCTACCGAATTTTTTCTTACCCCTCCACTTACCCTCTGCGATCCTACGGTTTTCCTCGGCCCGTCTTTCCCGGGCCCTTGCGTTTCGTCGCAGGCGTTGTGTTTCCTTTTTCCACTTTTGAGCCTCGGCATTCCAGTCTGTGACCTCCTTCCGCCGCCTTTTCTCTTCTTTGGCGATGTCGCTCTTTCATTTCTTCGCGTCCCTTATTTCCCTTTTCGCGTCGACCTCGGTTTGCTTTCTCCGTTTCCGGAACTGTCTTGCTGACGATTTGACTTCCTTTCCGACTATTTTCCTCTTCTCCTTCTTGATCAGTTCGTCGAAGTGGTTGTTAATTTTCCCTTCTATATCTAGGCCCCTCTCCCTGGCCTTTTCCAGAACGTTAGTTCTCATCCGTTCTAAGGATTCTAACTTCTTGTCCGGAATTGGAATACTTGGATTAAGAGTATTAATTGCTCTTTATTATATAGAAAAGTTTTTCTATAAGGTGGTTTTGGGGTTGATTCTGTTTTTCAGACCTGTAAGGTTTGAAAGAGCAATGAATACTTCCAAGTCTTTCGGAAATCCGGACGTATGAGAACTGTTCTCTTTATTATATGGGATTTATTTTGGAGAAGTTGATTCTGTTTGTGGGACAGATGGTCCGCACCTTCACCCCTTAATCTGAAAACCCCGCCAGGTCACTACCTGGCTAGATTTTAGCATGAAAACGTATGAAAATACGTGAAAACACCCTATTTTATGGTAAAAGAGACCGTTTTAAGCTGAAAACACCCTATTTTAGGAAGAAGGTCCGCACCTACGCCAGACCACTACCTGACAATCCAGGTCAACTTGACCCTGAAGGGCTTCTCCCATTTCAGCATCCATCTGCATATCGTTTAGGTTCTCTTCCTCCCAGTCAAACTGACCCCATAGGGCTTCTTCCATTTCAGCCTCTATTTGCATATCGTCCAGCATTTCCTCCTCCCAGTCCAGTACCTCATTCGATATTTCCGTCACCTCCCTACGTATTTCGTCCATTTCTTCCGCTTCCTCCTGCCATCTTACGTAGCACGCAGGACAGTCGGACCAGTCGTATTTGATTTCCGTAGGATTACCTAGGTGGATTGTATCCTCCGGACCTTCGAGATGGCAGCTGTGTATTACATAAAGGCTGCTGGAGATGGTAATAAAAACAATAATACCCTTTTTGCCTCCGTAGAGGTAGTCTACACCCTGTATCTCGGCACCCCTTCCGGTCCACCCTCTCCCGAACCTAACCCTAAGCCGCGAACGGCTGCCGGTCGGACGTGTGAACGTGAGCGCAAGCGATACGTCCTTGTAGTCTGCCCGTTTAAACATTCTTTCGATACGTTTCATTTTGTCAGGACAGTTGAAGTAGAGTATTGTGAATTCTAAGGTTAACATTATGTCCCCGTAGTTGCATTCTTACACACCCATTCGATGTGGTCCACCCTTTCGGGACCGCGGAAGATAAGTCCAACCCTTTTTATTTCTTCCTTCTTGAGAGATCTCCTTGTGATGGGTTGTTCCATGGTTACTTTGTTTATATGTAGGAAGTCTTGTCTATTAACTGTTGATTCTGAATTTGAGGTACTTCTGACCAGACTTAAGATTACTCACAAGTTAACTCAGATCTACTCACAAGTTAACTCAGATCTACTCGCAAGTTAACTCAGATCTACTCACAAGTTAACTCAGATCTACTCGTGAGATACTTTTTACTAGATTTAAGGCTAGTCAGAACTAACTCTTAGCTAGGCTTAAAGCTACTTACAAGTTAGCTAAATCCTACTATAAATAAAAAGGAACCATGTCTGAAGAAAACCCAGATACGACAGCAGTACCCGTCACAAATCCTGTAAAGACACGCGTCAAGGATCCAAGAAAGGTGGAAGCAGGGCGTAGGCTTGCTAAAATCAGTAAGGAAGCAAAAGCCAGGAAGAAGGCACAACTCGAAGCTATCAAAAAAGAGGAGCAAAATGTTCTGATTGAAGAATCTGAAAATGATGGGTCAATAGTCACCCTAGAAAGAGTCGGCCTGGTAGTAGGTATCGCCGTAGGGCTTGGATCCCTTTACTTCATGTGGCACAGTAGTCAGGAAAAGGACGAGAAACACGGGGAAGATAAGATTGTAGGGGAGCCGAAACCTGTTGTTATCACACCAAAATGTCCTGACTTGTGTGACTGAGTATAATAAAACAATGTCACAACCATTCCTGGACATACTAACCTTTTCCGTAGCAGTTGGAGCCGTACTGATTTACATCCACACGTTTGAGGCGGAAAAAAACAAACGCAGGGCGAAAGAAGCCGAACGCAAGGAAAGTGAAGGCAGGATGCTCGAAACCCTGGAAAGAAAATTTTCCCTAATCCTAGAAGAAAAGCTAAAAGATAAATAGTTATACTATAATAAAAACATAATGACCGACACGAAAAAGGAAGTGATTAACGAACTGTACGACGCGGCACTATTGACAACCGGAGTCGTTGGGGTATCCTACCTTGCCAAAACGGTTGCCGGAAGAAGCCTCGGTGCACCGATGACCCTAGAAGGAGCAGCAAAGCTTGCCGTTGCCGTAGTCGGAAGTGCATTCGCCATAGGATATCTTAAGGATAAGGGATACATCCCAAAAATGATTGACAAATAAAGAATGACATCTATTGTGGTCGGAGGACTCTTTAATGACGTGGCCTTTGCTGGGGCTGGATTCCTATTCTCCAAGTTGAATGGACAAGGATACAAGGAGGAGGTAAAAAGACATAACCAAGCCTTAGAGGAGCTTGCGAAAGCCAAGGAGAAGTTTTACAAATCCAAAGTGAAGCGCAGGAACGACGAGGCGAGACGGAGGGCCGAGATCCTAGATGCTAACACAGGGATATCGAGGAAACAAACAGGGCATTGGAAGACCTGAGGGATTATACGAGGCTCATGGATAGTACGGCATCCCAACGCAGACCGAAATTGGAGGATTACTATCAACCATCGGACGAAATCAAAAGATACGCAGTGCTGACAATGGGTATTCTCGGAATTGGGGGAACATACGGATTAACACGAATATTTTAAATCTTACAAGAAGATTTAAAACCCCATTTTATCAGAAGGAAGCAATTTATGTTTGTAGTTATAGTTCTGTTCGTTACATTTCCAGCAGAGTCTACGTCCTTGGATTCCAAGCCAAAGATTTGTACCTTCATATTTCCGGAATTCAAGACGACAAAAAGCGTAAACGAAACCTGAATGATTCTACTGCTTTGATCGCGTGTAAATATAACAACTGTTCCCGCAGCATCATCGCGAAATCCATACAGGGTGGAGGATGTTGCCGTGTTTTTTCCGTCACTGACACTAAACCCAATGAATCTTGCGTTCTTTTTATCCGAATTGGAAATATTAGGAGTTTGGAGAAATCCGGGTGGATACCCAGGTGTTTGGGTAAAGTCGTACTGTACCGAATTTTTTCCGAGGCTATTCAACCTTACAATGTCGTTCGCATGTTTAGCAACTTCTGCCGTGTTTCCTTGCTGTGCCTTTTCGACTGTTGTCAACTTTAGTTTTAAGGTGTTCAGGTCTTCCGCTATTGTATCAAAGTAATCGTATCCGAATAAGATGCTCATTTTATTTAACGTCGAAATACTAGGTATGCAAGTCCAAAGGATGCTACTGCCGCTGTCCCAAGAGCAATATTTTGGGTATCAGAATTCTGTCTTAATTCCGGAGGTTTAAAGTCTTCCACAACGGCAACCGGTGTAATGTCATGGCTTTCATCTATATTGTTCGTGGGGGTAGTAACGGGATTACTTGTATAATTTACCTTCTCATTTTTTTCCGAACGTCATCCCGTTCTTAGCTACCGTTAGAACATTGCTGAATCCTGGGATAGGTTTTGTTAAAATTCTTAGTTCTGAAGGAATTAGGATTAAACCCGGCATGATTGCAAAATTTAGGACAACGTGGGTATTGGCAATAGCCGTCCTCATGTTGGAGATGGTAACTGTCATATCGTCTTGTACAATTGTATCTTTTACCACCTTCCGGAAAACCTCCTGTGTCTGCAGACTTTTTGCACCCTGACCCGTAATACTCCATCGGGTTTTGGCCTGTGCCCTCAGAACGGAGTACACGAACGCCTCGATAGACTGCTGGAATAATTTCTGTCCAACTTTGGTAAGTCCGCGGAATGTTTTGGGAATAAGGGTTTTGTAGTCATTTTCAACGTCAAAGGGTGATCTACCAGTCAGGTATTCATATTCGATAAATGAACCACCATATTTGGTTAAACGAAAACAAAAAGGCCCCCGGACCCCTCAAAACATTCAAGGAAGAGTACGAGAAAGCACTCACCGAACACAGGGAAAGAACCAAAAGCGTAGTCGAAGAGGAAACCGGAGGGGAAGCATCAAGAGAAAACACAGAAGAAATTTTTGAGGATGCTAGGGAGGAATTACACCAGGAAGCAGTCATTACAGGTAATACCTTTGCAGAACGCGTGCAAGAAATGCAAAGAAAAGGAAAACTAACCATACAGGAAGCCAGAGAACTTGCGAGAATACCTGTCGCTAGGGGAACTCCAAGGGAAAGGATTAAATTCCTAAAAATAGAAAGTAAAAGACTGGAAAAAGAACTAAAAACCGACACAGATCCAGAAAGACGACAGGTCATACAAGAAGGTAAGGATCTTGCCGACCGTAGTATCGACAACGCCAAATTAGAAATGGGTCAGCAACCCGAAACGGAGGAGGGAAAACACAGGTATAGGGAAATAGTAAGAGAAAATATTAGGACAAAATTCGAAAGATTCCGCAAATGGGCAAAGGAAAACCTAGGTGCAATAGCCGCCATTGCTATCTCTATCGCTGAAATTATCACTACAGTTGTGGTGGCGGGAAAGAAAACCATCGTAGGAGCCTCCAAAGGATTAGGAGCCGTAGGAAAAGCATTGGCCGGACTTGCAAAATCCGCACTACCAATCCTAGTACCTATCCTAAATTTACTAAGTACTATCCTAAGCTGGGGAGCTAAAGGTCTCGCCTTCCTTGCCCAGAACCTATGGTTCGTAGCAATCCTAATTGCCCGAGCTATATACAAGTACCTACAAATGAAACGAAAGAAATAAAGTTATACCATAATAAAAACATAATGAACCGAACAACTGAACTTATGCCCAGCTTCCGGCGCATGAATAGGACGGAAATTACTGGGGATAGGACAAGACATGTTCTAACCTTCAATCCCAATTCTGCCAAACCCGGAGAAGAAATTTACGTTAATATTGCAAAGCTAAAAGCCGACTCCGTTCTTGTACCGGATAGTATGGCTTTAGTTTTCGACTTTAAGAACAGCAATACAAAATCCTGGTTCAGGAACAACCTAGGGAAACTGCTCCAAAAGAGACTGGAAATCCGACTCGCAGGAGAAAAGGTCTACGACAACAGCGGGGAAAGCCTACTGGAAGTCTACAAAGACCTATGGTTGCACAACAAGCAGCGCGATGATATGGTAGAGGATGGTATCGCCAGCGAAGCCACAAGGAAGAAGATATCCAAAGACGCCGCCGCAAACGACGATGCAGAGGCTACCGCATTGTTCCGTGTATTCGGAACAAAACAAAAAATCCGGATCAACAAAATCCTCAAAGATTACGGACTTGATGCACCACACAACATGGCAAACGACTTACAATATGTAATCACCCTACCCACAGCGGCCGAAATCATGAACGCACAGGGTGGAGAATCTGTGGAAGGATACACCATAGAAAACATCGAACTGGAATACGAGTCCATCGACAACATCGATCTTGCAAGGAAAGCAGAGGGTCTGTATGGATCCGAACGCGAGTTATCCTTCGAATATGCTACCCTCATGAAGAAAATGGAATGGAGCAAAGATTCCACCATTATCAACGAAACGATCAACGTACCACGCAGAAGTATGAAAGCCATTGTCATGCTATTCACAAACAAGACGAAGACAGACAGTGAGGAATATATCTACCCCAACATCGAAAAGGTTAGGGTAACCATAGAAGGTGTTCCTAATGCTGTCTATAGCCAGGGTATCCCAAAAACAAGGTTATACGAGGAGGCAAGGCGACTGTTCGGTACCGATGAAATCAGTCACCAGACACTAACCGGATTCTTCAAAGACAA